TCCTCTCCGAGGTCCTGGAATGAGTTGTTGCTTCTCAGCTTCGCTCCTTCCTCTCCCACCACTCCCTTCTCGAACCCCTCCAATCAGGTTTCTGTGCCGCCCACAGCACAGAAACAGTCCTGGTCAAAGTGACAAATGACATTCTGTCCATCTGCGACCAGGGCTCCCTCTGCCTCCTCGTCCTCCTTGACCTCTCTGCTGCTTTTGACACCGTTGACCACACTATCCTCATCCACCACCTCTCCTGTCACCTCAACCTCCACGGCACTGTCCTTGATTGGTTCAGATCGTACCTCTCACACCGCCTTCACTTCATCTTCTCAAACGGCTTCTCCTCTAGCCCCCAGATGTTTTGTGTGGCGTTCCTCGGGGCTCTGTCCTTGGTCCCCTCATCTTCAATATCTATATGCTCCCTTTTGGTGACATAATTCGCAGACATGGGGTCAACTTCCACAGCTGTCCTGACAGGATGAAGACATCGTCCTGGATGAGAGCTAACTTTCTTCATTTGAACGTCAACAAGACCGAAGCTCTCCTGATTCGCTCCCGTCAGCGCCTTATCACCTCAGGTGCTGACAGCATCACCATCCATGGTTGCACACTCCACCTCACTGAGCCAGTCCAGAACCTTGGGGACTTGTTTGACCCTCAACTATCCTTTCTAACCCACATCTGTGCCATGACCCGCTCTGCCTTCCCCCACCTCTGCAACGTCGCCCGGCTCCTACACTGTCTCACACCGCAGGCCGCCGAAACCCTCATACACGCCTTCATTACATCAAGGCTCGACTATGCAAACTTACTGCTTGTCGACCTCCACAAGTCCTCCCTCCACAGGCTGCAGATCATCCAGAACTCCGCAGCCCATGTCCTCTCCCGCACTAGGCTCCGCGACCCTAGGCTCCTATCACCCCCATCCTCGCCTAACTCCACTGGCTTCCCATCGCACAGAGGATACAGTTCAAGATCCTGGTCCTCACCTTCAAAGCCCTCCATGGTCTACCTCTCCAACCTCCTAACCCCCTAACATCCTGTTCGCTCCCTCCCCTCAGTGGGCTCCGGCCTGCTTCACATTCCCTGCCTTGCTCGTCCCACTATCGGCGGGCGGGCCTTCCGTCACTCTGCACCCACCCTCTGGAACTCCATCCCGCAGTCGTTCCATCTCGGCCCCTCCCTCGCCACCTTCAAGACCCACCTCAAGATCCTCCTGCTCTCCCCCCCTGCCCTCCATCCTCCCCGACCCCGACCTCGGGTCCATAACTCTGTCAGTCCAGCGCCTTGGGACGTCCTCCCGACGTGAAGGCGCTATACAAATGTAATTTTGTTGTCGTCGTTATGTTGTCATTGGCAGTGCCTTGGAATACTGCAGAGGCTTGTTCAAGGACAACTGAGATCGACGCAGAGGAGAGTTGACTGTATTCTGATATTCCATTGCCAAGCATCTAGTTCAGCTCTAAGGAGACTCTGCTTGTGTCCCCTCCAAAGATGTACTTTCAAAATCAAACCTGGTATTCTATTATAGTCCTGGGGGGTGCACTGTGTTATCAGGCGTGCTGTCCTTTGGATGTTAAACTGAGGTCCTGTCTACCTGTTCAGATGTTAAAGATCCCATGGCACTATTAAAAAGGAGAAGGGAGTTTCTCCTTGTGTCCTGCCCAACAATTCCCCCAATTAAAATTGGTCATTCATTTCAAGGCTATTTGTGGGACATTGCTGTGTGGAAATTGCTGCCACATTTACTTATAAAAATACACAGTCACTGCACTATGCAATGAATCCTGTGAAGCACTTTGAGACATTCTTTTTACATGAAAGGCTTTATATCAAATTCAAGGATGAGTTTTATTTCTTTAAGTGTTTACTGGAATAATGCTTGCCTTTGATGAAGCAAATGTACGATGGTTTATAACAGGTAATTAGCAGGAGTGTATCTCACCAAACGACCACTCATCTCAGTACTGGGTTTATTCAATTTGCTTGATAACAGGTTTCAAAACAGAAACTTTGTAAAGCACTTCATATTGCCACAATTTGATCTCACGTTTGTCTGTGTAAAGGAAGTGGGAATTATAAAATCCACCTATATTGGGTTTTGTACAATCGTGTCCATTATTGCACATGCTGCTGTAATATTGCTATTAAGATGATGAATATTGTGAAGGAATAATTGAACAAAGAATGATTATGTGGTCAAAGTGGATCATACAGAAAGGTCTGATTTGCGAAGCAGAATCTGAAAAGTCCACTTCACACGCATTTGTAACTGAATCTTCCTTTATTGCCTCTGTTAACACCGTCTGTTAAATGAACTATTATTACTTTAGCTCCAAGCTGCGTGAATGAGCCTTTGTATTCTGTGCATCATTCTTACAATTGGATTATTGCCCTGACTCATGCCACAAGAAAAAAACAGACGGTGCATGGTTTTAGCACAAATTGTTTGCAGTTTTGTAGCTAAATAGATTGAGATTGTGAGGAGATTATTTCACACTAGAATGGTGTTAAATAATTCAATAGTTTGATTTCTGGAATTCCATAAGTAACTCCTACAGGTGGAAGGTGACAGGAATAATATAATTAAACACTGGCTACTGTTTATCCAGAGTTTTTGAGGCGTTGATATTTTATGAGCTGATTTTTAAAAAAAAAAGTTTGCTTTTTTAAAGGTGTATTGTTAGCAGTGAAAATATTTACTGGCTATTTCTATTAGAGATAGCCACAATATAAGCAGGGTCTCCTTGGAGCTAAACTGGCCGCAACGTGACATGCTTGGCGATGGAATGTCGGAATTTGCCAGCCCTCTTTGGTGGTCTCAGTAGTCTGGTTCTGGAGCCAGGCAGGTCCACAGTATCCCAGGGCACTACTGATGACAGCACAGTGAGCCTGGCTCATTGGCAGGATCTGGAAGGGCAGGCCGGTCACTGGGGGCAGGGAGTCATCCCACTCAATTCCTGTTAATCCTGCAAGCCAAAGCCCTAATGGATACAGTGGTCCCAGCTAGACAAGCAGCGGCAACGTTTGGCAGACAGCGATATCAATGTCTGGTTAGCTGGTTAGATTCCAGCATACTCTGGGGTCCTCAAGCCTTGGCTCTTGCCAATCTGCACCTAATACTTTCCAGAATTATGTCAGCAGGATGTGTCCCTCCAGGGAGAGAGTGCACATTCCAACTATCTATTTCTGGGATTTCCATGTGTAGGTGGGACGCATGGAAACCTCAGCTTGGTTTGGTTGCTCTTAAGCATGGGAATGGGTTCCTGTATGTGTCAGACACCCGGCTGACCAAAAAAAAAGAGCCACAATAGAGAAGGACCCCATTGGGTTTTTGTTAACCCTGCAACCCAAAGTCCTAACGGATAAGACGGTAATGTTTCATACAAATTGGTGTGTTTGAGCAAGTATACACACAATCACTACAGACATTTTCAGATCCAGTATTATGTATAACTTATTTTACGGTGCGGCCCACCAAGTGAAGAGTGCTAACTTAAATAGCCCTTGCAGCCAGATGAGTTTGACACCCCTGTTATAAAAGAATGACAGCCTATCGCCGACAAAATATACAGTCACTATAGTTTACAGTATATTCTCTGAAACGCTTTGAGACATCTCGACTATGTGATGAGGCTTTTATCAAATTAAATATTATTATTATCTTTTATATTGGATAGGGTCCAATAGCCGTTCTGATCAGTCGACTCATCTGCATTGTGTTGGATTGTACTGAATTAAGCAGCAAAGATAGACTTCCTGGGCAAGCTGCCAAATAGACCTACAATATTCCAACAATCTTCTACATCTGTCCAGCTAACTTGCTGACAATGATGAGTAGGACTTAGCTTCCTTAAAGATACCCATTTTGCTACTATATTTTCCAGCTACCTTGATGACTTGCTTGACCCAAGCCAAGCAGATTGGACTTGATGCCATGTGTTGGCATCCTGTAGAGTCCTGTAGCTCAGTGGTTAGAGCACTCGCTTTGCAAGCGAGAGACCTGAGTTCAATTCCAGGCCGGGCGAAACCTTGGTCAAGTTTCCTTACTCCACACGCCTAATAATAATCCCTCCAAAACCAAAAACAATAATAAATTGGTCATTTTCGATCTACAACTGTTTGTGGGACATTGCTGTGCGCAATTGGCTGCCGCGTTCGCCCACAAATATACAGTCAATTCACTTTACAGTGTATTCTGTGAAGCGCTTTGGGACGTCCTCCCGACGTGAAAAGCGCTATATCAAATGCAAGGATTATTATTATTATTATTATTATGTGTTTGTAATGGAGACGAGTTTGCAACATTTGCATAGCAAACAACATAATTCAATCCCTCTTGACTGGTTTATTGACTTGATCTTTTTAGTGCTGAAAATCGCTCATTATTTGGCTACCTGCTGTCTAGTTCTGTCTGGCTTTGCAGTGATTTTTGTCACTGTTTGTCTTTCTGATTGGAACTGACCACTCTATAGGGATTAATGTCATCAACAAGCACAACGTGTTGATAAGAAAATAGTGGAATCATTCAGGCATCTGTAAAGTGATGTTTAAGTAAACGGGTGTTCAATATTCATGACCTAATGCTAGAGGCATCTTTTAGCAGCTCTGCATATAGCGCAATAGACCAGATTAGCATTGAGGTTGAGTTACCCTTCTCTGATAAAGGTTCTATACATACCACAATCTAATTGTTTATACTGACACTGAGCCATGTGATAATGGTGCTCACACATGAGGATTACATTTAGAAATTACCAAGGTATCCAGTTTTGAGTATCACAGACATTATTAGAATGTTAAGGGCAATTTTGCCAAATTTGTTGACAAATTTTTCATTAAAAATGTTTACAGTATGTAACTTTGTAGGTAGTGGTTTGCATAAGATTGAAGGTGAAACTTATATAAGATTTTACACTGGTTGAATAAAGTCTTTTCGAGTGGAGAATGAACCATATTATTTTGTTATTAAATACAGTACCTCATCTATTTTCTTATGGATTTAATAGGTCCACGATGGGGTTCTTTTTGTCCAAGTCCATGGAAGACAACATGAAGAAACAGCAGGAATTCATGGCAGCAAATGGTGCCCTGCAGGTATGACTTCCCGGCTCTGTGATACAGTAAACCTCACATAAGGCATTTCAGTTGGGACCATACATGTAACGTGACTTATGCTAAGTATGAGTTCTGTCAAACTTAAGTCATATCATATATGATTTGTGTAAAGTTATGTAAAGTTAGATTTTATATTGCTTACACGTAACAAATGCACAAATGCTGAACTGTCTAGTGACATTAAGGCAAGGTTTCACAATGGAAATTTGCAGACTCATTATTTTCCAGAACAACCATTTTCATGCATTCTTCAACCTGTTTTATTATCTGTGAATGTTTTATTTGAATGTTCCTGTTGCTTTCCCTGATTTTATTGTGCTTTTCTTGCAGGGGGAGATGATATAAATATGTGAATTATTTTAAGAGTTGAAGGGGGGCTGTGACCTGTTGCTGCTTGCTGTGTGATCTGCCTGCCAGTATGAAAGTGGAAACAACAAATATGAAAACATTTCTTTTCAAAATTTAATATATTCAGAAATTGTTCCAACGCCAACTTTCTCCCCTCCTGACCTAAGGGCACTCAGCGATGGCAATGATCCTGTCTGCCTGTTCAGGTGGGCGTTAAAGATCCCATGGCACTATTTGAAAAGAGAAGGGATTTTCTACCAGTGTTCTGTCAAAAAATCCCCCAAATAAAATTGGTTACTCACATCGTGGATGTCTGTTGGACATTGCTGCATTCAAATTGGCTGCGGCATTTGCCAACAAAGTGCAGTCACTCCACTTTGCACTGTATCCTATACATGAAGCATCCTCCAAACCTTTAAAGGCGCTATATCAAATGTAAGAATTATTAATATTATCAATAATGTCTGGCTCTATAGGTGCTGAGTGACTTTGCTGAAGTGGCCATTCTCCAGATGTGAACCCAGATGTTCACTTCTATAAAATGTACTGGAGTGGAGAAGCTGCTGTGTACAACAATAAGATTACATTTGTATAGCGCCTTTCACGTCGGGAGGACGTCTGAAAGCGCTGGAGAGAGTACAGCATTTCAGACCTGAGCTGGGGTCAAGGGGGAGAGGGGAGGGGAAGGGGGTGACCGATGGCATGGTCGAAGAGGAGGGTCTTGAGGCGGGACTTGAAGGAGGCCAAGTAAGGAGTATGGCGGAGTGATTAGGGGATGGAATTCCAGAGGTTGAGGGCAGAGTTGCTGAAGGCTCTCCCGCCAATGTAGGCATTGTAGAGCACTCAGAGTCATGAGATTTTAGCTCAGACCAGAGATTTCATCAGAACTAATGCTTTTTAGATCCCAGGGAATGTCAGCAGACTACTTGGTTCCAGGATGAGCCAAGTTTTTATCTTTGCCTGATGTTAAGAGCACTCGTACGCTTCAGCAGGAATTGATGGATAATGATCAGCTCGAACTCTGAGTGATTTTAGATCCTCCCCAACCCAACATGCTCCTCTTCCCCCTCCCCGGTGACAATGCCTTGTCACAGATGTTGCCCAATAGGTGAGACTTTAAACCAAGGTCCTGTCTGCAAGTCCTTCAGGGGGACATTGAAAATTCCATGACACTATTCGAAAATATACCTTTTTCCCCCTGTGATTTAGTTATCAATTCTCCACATTCACTTCATGACCGGGTGTAGGACTTTTAAGGACTCCAAGATGCTACCCACTTGAAAGGAGTTATATAAACACAAGTTATTGTTGTTTAGGGGAGCTTGCTGCGCACATATTGGTGGCAGAGTTTGCTTACAGATACAGCTACCACACTTGACAACAGTTCCTTGTTCTATGTTAGAGGCTCTATATCAAACACAAGGATTATTACAACAGCAGCAACTTGCATTTATATAGCACAGGGTACCATCCCAGAACAGAACTGCAAATATTACTATCTGCAGGTCAGATCGAAGGAAAGAACTACCATTTCATAGCACTTCATCATCCTGAAATATCTCTAATGATTTACTGCCATGTGTAGTGACTATTTTGAAGATATTTAGGTGACTTTGAATAGCAGATGGCATATTGACCTAAATTAATCTATTGACATATTGACCTAAAAACTATTAGCTAAACTTTGTTCTATCTTTACAGAGTTCTATCTGTCTCACCTTTAGAGATGTATGTTAATTGCATTAACCAAACTTTAATGTACATACCAGATTCTGAGAATTTTAACACCATAGTTTATCATGGGATTTTCTGTCTTATATATTATTGCACAGCACAGACATGCTATAAACAATGCATCAGTGATGTGTCAGCCTGGCTCCATGGGTAGCACTCTTGCATCTAAGGCAGAAGGTTGCGGGTTCAAGCCCCCTGGTGGGCTGACATTCCATTGCAGTGGTGCGGGTTGCTGTATTGGAGATGCTGGCCTTCGGATGAGACATCCTATCTGCCTGTTCGGGTGGATGTTAAAGATCCCATGGCCCTATTCGAAAATTGAATGAATTTCTCCCTGGTTTCCTGGCCAATAATTTCCCCCAAATAAAATTGGTCACTCACTCCATGGCTCTTTGCGGGATTTGCTGTATGCAAATTGGCTGCCATGTTCATATACAAAATACAGTCACAACACTTTATAGTACAGGGTGAACAAAAAGTTGTAAAACCATTACTATGTCTAATAAGTCTTAAAGAAGTTATGATTTTTTTTAGATAATAGGGTAGCTGAAAAACAAGACTTTCTGTATATCATGTGACGTGCTTTGAGAGGTCCTCCCAATGTGAAAAGCGCTATATCAAATGTAAGTATCGTTATTATAACTAAATCCTGTAGATATTTTAAACATTGCCACGTTTTGTAGTTCATTTTGTTCTGTTTAAAAGCAGTAGGTGGCACTCTATAATTACACTGAGTTGCAGTGCATAACTGAACCTGAATTGCTCCATTTCTGTAGAAAGAAACTCGAAAGCGTGATGTTTCCAGATATTTTACAGTTGTTTCTACAAACTAAATTTACGCACAGCAGGGTCCAACAAACATCCATGAAGTGATTAACCAGGAGAAACTTCCTTTTCTTTAAAAAGTACCATATGGATCTTTGACGTCCACCTGAACAGACATACGAGACCTCAGTTTAATGTCTAAAAGACAGTACCTCCAAACAGTGCAGTGCTTCTCCAATAATGATAGGCTGACAGTCTCATGAAGGGTCAGATTGGCTCAGTTGGTATGCCTCTCGCCTCTGAGTCAGAAAGTTGTGTGTTCACAAGTAGAAAGGCGCAAAACAAATATAATTTTGTATAGTATACAGCGCTGTGGTGAAAGGTGTAGCCAGTGGGGTGGGGGGAGACGGATGTCCGATCAGGGGGACAGGGGAACAGCCAGGTTTCTGTGAGCCCAAGAATGTCGATGTTCTCATCCAGGATGAGGTCATGGACCGTGAGGGCTTTACTTGGAGGAAGAGGACATTTTGGAGAGAAATGCGAGTGGGTGAGGTGGTGGAGGAGGGCTTCGCAGGGAGGGTAGGGAGGGTTTTAGGCTCTGGGGGAGAATTCACCGTGGAGGGTGGGGGCGGTGTTTGGAGGGTTTAAGGATGTGGATGAGGGAAGGGGTGTTTGTGTTTCGGAGGTGGGAGAGGCGGCTGTGTCCAGGAATGTGGGCGATGGGGCAGTTGCGGCGGCTGCTTTGGGACAACCATCATCGAGAGATACGATGGGCCTGGCGGAGGATATCCAGACTGGAGCAGAGGGAGGCAGTATTGGGGTCCAGGAGAGAGCGAAGGCGAGAGGGCAGTGGGAGAGAAGAACTGAGTGGGAGTAACGGAGCGTTGGGAGCAGAAGGGGGAGCGTTTTCAAGAGTGGAGATTCGGGTTATAAAATATGAAATACCTTCCTCGGTGTTAGTCATTGTTTAACATTGCAAGCAAGTTACTTTCATCAATTCCGTCATTGGAGGCTGCAGTTGCTGACTATGGTTGCCTGTTGCAAACAGGCTCTTAATCTTAATCAGTTTTCAACAGTCATGATGTGTTCAATGGTGTTATTTGTGTTCCATTTATTATTCTGTTTAGATTTCACAGCATCATCTGGCTCCAAGGTTCAAAAGTATTTGAATTATAATTCTTTACTTAACAATTTAGACTGGTGGAAAGGTCACTCACTGGATCATAAGCGTCTATTAAAAATAGGCGCTTGAGGGTTGTTCATCATCTTTGGATGAGATGTTAAACTGAGATTTAACCAAAGTTTAACATCAGCATGTTAAGTTGGACATTAAAGATTTCATGCAGTCCTGTAGCTCAGTGGTTAGAGCAATCGAGAGAACTGGGTTCTATCCCTGGCAGGGCGAAATGTTGGGCAAGTTTCCTTATTCCACACACCTCTGTTTACTTTGCAGTAAGCAGAAACCCGGTTGTTAGTCGAATGACCAGGAGAAACTTCAGATCGCTTTTCTGGGGGTAATACTTCCTTCAAAAATAATAATAATAAATTGGTCACTCAATCCACAACTGTTTGTGGTACACTGCTGAGCGCAGTTGGCTGCTGCGTTTTGCCCACAAAATATACAGTCAATTCATTTTACAGTATATCCTGTGAAGCTCTTTGAGACGTCTCGAAGACGTGATAAGGCCCTATATCAATGTAAGTATTATTATTCTTCAAAGAGAGAATTCTCTGTGTTCTGGCCAAAACTACTCAAGATAAAATTGGTCGTTCACTTCATGGTTGTGTGTGGGACGTTGCTCTGTGCAAAGTGGCTGCTGTTTTCGCCTGTAAATACACAACCACTACACTTTACAGTATCTTGTGAAGCTCTCTTGAGAAGTTTTGACAATGTGATTCAGATACAAAGAGTATATATTATACTCCTATATATGTGTATATATACTCCTGACAATTTATGGCTGTGGAGCGGAAAGAGGGAAGTTACCTCTGTATCTTCATATTCACACAGTGCTTTGCAATCAGAACAGAGCCAGGGGACGTTTGCTATTCAAATATTGAAAAAATATACAGGCACTAATCTTTGCAATATATTCTGTGAAGCGCTTTGAGACATCTCAACGACGTGATAA